TCGATTTTTTGAATTATTTTACTCGAGTTAAGCCGAGTTCACGTGGAGAAAATTGTACGCAGCTTGCTTTGTTGCATTTGTTAAAATATTGTTGCGTATTATGAGGCGAAGATGGATTCGGTAATTTATTATGGCAGTAGAGAAGGGAATCAAGTTTATGATCTATCCATGGTGGCGATTACGAGTTGGATGTTCGAAAGGGAGATTCGAAAAAATGTAAATTCAAAAATTTTTCATAGATTGGCGCAGAAGGTGTGGGAGCGGAAAGGCAGAGCTGATAGCGCGATTGCCAGCGCGATCGGTCCACAAATGAAAAATCTCGTTTCGAATCTCGATCTACCAATTCGATCAACCAATTCTTCCTCCTCTCCTGTGATATGTTACTGACAAGACCATTAATGGATTTGGAACGAAACGAATCCTTCTCTTCCATTTTACCCTTTCCTCTAGATCGCTTCTAATTTCTAAATATCGTTCCTTGTTCCATTCAAATAAGAATCTTTTGTTAAAAGTTGATTCGTTTCATTGTCGAACGAATTGAACTTTTTTACTTCAATATGAGCTCCTTGAAAAATTGTGATTTGTTGAACATTAGAGCTATAATTCTATAAATCTAAATCGAAGTGTAATTATTGTTTGAATAAAGGCCAATATTAATTTCGTTAAAAGTACTTGCAGTACTTTTTAGTAATTGCAGAAATAAAAAATTTGGAAAATAGTTAATTTGACTTGTTTCAATCTCAGTGTTAAGTAGGCCACTCCGTGTACATGTGACGAAAAAGAGAAACCAAAGGAGACACGAAACGTTCTTACTCTCAAAGTTAAGCCTTACTAACGAGTCAGCTAAAACGCCTCGCACGAAACGTCCTTGCTTCCCCTCCCAGCTTACCCAACTTTTCTCCGACCAACCCACACCTTCCTCCAATCCTAGCGCCGATTAACAATCAACCTTCGTGACTCGCCGAAAGCCTCGTCGACTCACCGTTCTCAAGTTTCAGAAACAAGCAACGTAACCAAACGAAGGCAAAAGCGCCCCCTAATTTATATTCGTCGGCTTATATACCATTCTTGCTAATTTCCTCGGATTATCCTTGTAGGCCAGCATCGATTTACTCGCCTAAAAGTACGAATATTAATCGCTAGACAGCGGATTTTTAGATATCTAAATCGTGTTCAAATATTCTATGATACAGAGAATATTATATTACATATAATGTACTTTATATAACAATAACAGCATCATTCAATTCAGGAAAATGTCTCGCAAATATCAACTTCAACTTTTCGTATAAAAAACGTGAGGAGAATCTAAAAATTTTGGGTTTAAAACTTACTCAGTAAATAGAGGAAACTATGCCATTGAAGTCACTTTTCGATTCATCTCGATATCACAATCGGTTGCCGAGATATAAGCGCTTAAAGTTTCTATAGCACTTCACGGAGACTATGAATAGATCGTGACCACGTTTCTTCTTGGAATTGCGTATTACGTCTAAGAATTGTATATGTTTTTCCAGGAATCCGTCACTTGTCTGAAGTTTGGAATAGGTTATGAGACAAGGTACAAGCGAGGAACGCGAGACCAGGACGGAAATAATAAACGATTAAAAATTACTTTTTCTTTACACGACGATATCTCTGAAACCGGAAGTCGTATCGGAATAAATCAAAAAGCATTTTAAAGATCAAAGTTTCGCGCTTCCAACGATCTTTGGTCCATTGATAGAAAATCATTATTTTCGAAGTTACAATCATTCAAAGTTTTCCTATTTTTAATAGGATTTTAAAGAAACTTATGCGATACGTTTATTTCTAGAAAAAATATTGCTCGTAATTTTATTGTTTCGAAGATTTTTAAACTGATTTTGATTTAAATTTTGATTTTATTACCCTTTCGATGACCCGATTCCCGGCTCGAAACCTATTTTTCGGGCGTACACCTATGGATCTGGAATCCATTTAAAATGTGTCGGTGGATACGCGCCGCAAGGTTAACGAAACACGGTGAAAATGGAAGAGTTTTGGGGGATGGAGCCGCAGCGGCAGTTATTGCACGGATCATACCGTCAGATACCACGATTTCGAGCGTACACCACGAACACACCGATCCCCCATGGGAAGCGCAGGGATTGAAAATGGACTGCAATAACCCTAAAGCCGGCCGCGACCGCGAGTTACACGTTCTTTTTTTTTTTTTTTTTTTTC